TGAAGGTTAAGCAAGATTTTGTAGGTAGAGTTAGTGGTTCACACGGTTCAAAAAAGCGAATTTGCGATGTCACACCTTTGCTGTGACACACAGCATCCTTAAGCAATTGAATTGCACCCACATACTTACCCAACATCCTAAAGTATGAACTTCCCTTTTGTGGTTGACTGGAAGGCAGCAGTTCATGGCTCTTATTTAGAATATATTTATGATTAACAAAGAAAAAAGAAGTTGTGACCATAGTTTGAAGTTTAATAGCAAATGTAGTGATTCCAACGAGCTTCAATCTACTAAGAACTGTGGGTTTCAAATTAGAATGAAAACCACTATAAATCATAGCTTACTGACAAAATGGAATTCCAAATGTCAGTGTTTGCAATTCATATTGTTTGTTAATTTAAGCTGTTCTCCCCAGTTTGTCTCTCTGGCTTTTCCTAAATACTGTAAAATAAAGCCAGTGTCCTCGGGAAATGTAACACATGTTTGGTATTTGAGGTGTACCTCTGGTGATAAGAGAGTGATAAGATGACTAAAATACCTACAAAGAACAGGCTGAGAGCACATTAATCTTCAAACCATCCGGGCAGACAGTAGGCATGAAGCTCTTTCTTCTTCTGACTTTCTTTGGAGGGGCAGGTATTGTATAGAATTGATATGTACTGTAAAAAGTCACACATGTTCATATGACAGATGTTACTGCACAAACTACCTTCTTTTTTGCCAATTCTTTACTCTGACTTCTTTTTTTACAGCTTCGGCTACACTGAAGGAAGATGGCAAGATTGTCGGAGGGTATGAGTGTCTGAGGAATTCTGTACCCCACCAAGTTTCTCTCTTCACTGGGTACAACTTCTGTGGCGGGACTCTTGTGTCCAATGAGTGGGTGCTCTCTGCTGCACACTGCAAAACAAAGTAAGAAAGATGATACGCTAAAGACTATCCATAGCGTGTGAAGCTAAACCTCAGCAACTGGTTAACACTGATGGATCTTCCCTTAAACATCAAGAGTGCAAAGTCACCTTAAAGAGGGATTTATGTCTTCCAGGTCAGATGTGGAACTTCGTCTGGGAGAGCACGACATCTGGGAACCCGAAGGGACCGAACAGCACATCATGTCTGCCAAGATTATTTGCCACCCTGACTACAACTCCCGCACCCAGGACAGCGACATCATGCTGATCAAACTGAGTCGACCTGCCACTCTGAACAGCTATGTGCGACCTGCTACGCTCCCTTCAAAGTGTGCCAGCGACGGGACAGTGTGCCAGATCTCTGGATGGGGGAGTCTTCGTCCCAGCGATGAGGGCTGTGAGTTACAGAGAAACTATGTGGAATGCCACAAAAATGCTATTTCATGCCTTATTGTTCACTGAGACACCCCTTTGCTCGCTTTTTCCAGCGAGGTTCCCTCACAAGTTGCAGTGCCTGGATGCCCCTCTCCTGAGCGATGACACATGCTTCGATTCATATCCTTTCCAAATCACTGAGAACATGATCTGTGCTGGTTATCTGGAGGGAGGAAAGGACTCCTGCCAGGTATTATACAGATCATGGCTGCTGTTTATTTAAAGTGTGATCAGTTAAGATAATCACCCGTTTTCTTAAATCCTCAGGGTGACTCAGGGGGTCCCATGATTTGCAACGGGGAACTACAGGGAGTTGTGTCTTGGGGGCATGGCTGCGCTCTGAGAAAAAAGCCTGGGGTTTACACAAAAGTTTGCAATTACATCTCCTGGATCAAGAGTACCATGGCGTCCGGCTGAGCAGCAAAGAAGCCAAAGAATTCACATGTGACCTGATAGTAAAGTCAACAATGTGACGTGCTGTGTGTACAGTGTGGTTTTTACAGGTGTTTGTGACCAGTCTTTGGCCTGAAACACACACACTTGACATTGAGGTAAATCGATTCAATTCTTCTGCAGGTGTCTAAAACAAGTGTGTCTGAAATGCCACTAGTCCTCAACACCATAATGAATGGCTTTGTTAAGCGGGAATGTAAAATGGCATCTATATAAGAAGCCAAGATTGTAAATAGTTGCCTCCCATGCTGTCACACTATTTGACGGGTATGAACTCTGACTCAAAATGACTTCAAAATGAATGGACACACACAATTCTTGCTCATGGATGCCACGGTAGAACACATAGCATTTGAAGAACAAACATTACATTTACAGTCAACCAACAATAAATCACAAAAAGGGAAAAAACTGCTGCTACATTGCCGTCTGTGGGTTGAAACTGGGAAGCATGGTGCACACTCTGGCCATGCTCCATGATCACGGGTTGGACCACTGTCTGCTACAAATGTGCTTCTTTGACAGTTCGCTGTGCAGTAACTTTTCAAAAACCTGAAACCTGATCAGTAAACTCGTTTAAGGGCACAAGTTTGCGATCAACAACAGGTGCACATATGAGAACACTCAATCCCAAAATGGCTTGCATGGCATGCAGTGATTTAAGTGAATTTTGGTTGCTTGGGTGTGGCACAGAGCAGTGTGTGAGTCAACGGGCCTTTTCTTTACCACTGAAAAAGAGGCCTAATAAGGACTCATTTTTGTATAAAATATAGCTCTTATTGCCATGAAGCATGCTAGATGATGCATTATTATATTTTCAAATACATGGCTTTGTGGAGGATGTTTATTCTGGCAACAAAGATCTCCATGTTTTGAATCCTACATAATTCCACAAACAATGTTTACGAGCTACTTAGAAGTTTTGGCCGCTCTGAAGACTTTTCCTTCTGCAGTGTCCTTGCCAGAACATATTCTTGATGTGGTGACACACTGATGCAGTAAAAATTGAGCTATGAAAAGGAAGAAAGTGACAGAAATAATCTAAAAATAATGGTATGTAAAAATGCATTTTTAAGAGCATACTTTAAACTATTCAATAGAAAAAGATGACACAATATTGGAGAAGATGAATAAAAAGTGAGAAAACAGTGTCACAGAACAATAGAGGGTTGGGAAGTAGGTACATAAAAACACACAAATCTTAGGGGAAAAGCCCACATGACATGTGCAGAAAGCTGAGACCGCTTAGTCCGTAAACACATCAACTTTCTCTGCCCCCACACATGACATCAGCAGCCAGGTGGCTCCTATTTGGGTCTAACATGGAGCGTGTTGACGGCGCAGCTCTTGCGGCTCAGGGTGTGGACCGTCATGAGCGGTCAATGCATTTCCCTCACGGTTAAATCGGGTCAGTGGTAGCAACTAAGTGTCCAGAAGGGGCTGGACTCTGAAGTCACAGACAAGTAGAGAAGAGAATACTTTTTACTCATTGATAGTTTTGCTGCTGTCCCGCTGGTTTCTTGACTTGTGTCAGTGTCAGATAGAGGCCAGGAGAGGGCAGCATCCCACTAGTGTACAGCCTCGCACCTTCTGAGGTTTCTTATCTTTTCTCCCTCAAGGTTAATGTGAATGAATACCTGACATTCTGTTGAATGGCCACACAGTTTCTGGCAAAACTGAATAACTTTGAGACTTTCGACTTCAACATCACTGGTGAAAGTATTTAGAACTTTTACTAGTGCAGATGTATACTGCTGTGTAAATTATCTTTTTAATCATTATAAACACTGTTGGGTAGGATAACCTTTAACAACAAATCACTAATTTGATTATTATATTTTGTACCAATGTTCTAAATATGTGGAATAAATAGTTAGAAAAGAAGAAAAATACAATAACTCCCTCAAGAATGTAATGAAGTAAAAATGAGCATAATAGTGAATTATAAGATATGAGTTAAAAATTAAAAATGTACAACACATATACACATATTCTGGGCTATAAACAAATCAAATAAAGCATAGTGATGATATTAAAATAGTTCTAGGTTAATGTTAGATGTTAGAGTGGGGTCGTCGTAAAAAAGTGAACTGATCGGGTCAACACGAGCCCAAAGGTCCTCAAGAGACTCCAAACAGAGACTTGTGGATGGGTAGTCCCAGATTGAACATCACTATGGTGTAAGAAAAAACAAAGCAGCCGAATACGCACCGTGCGCTCAGCCAGCGGGACCACCGCCTTGCTCCTGACGCACGGCTGAGTCAGCGGGAGCGCGCGTAATTGATAATTCCCAATACACGGGAATCACCACCACCATAAAAAGCGCGTACACGGCTCCATCCCTCGGTTCAACCTTGAAGTTTATAAAGCCAACCAACTTCAGGCAAGTTGCTACACAAGAGAAAACATCGAGTGGATGTCTGGCAAAAGTAACACCAGGGCACCTTGACATCAGGTAGGACTGAAGATAAATTTCTTCTTCATGTGTAGCCCCGTTTTTTTATTTGCTGCTTTGCGGAGGAATTATCCATACGCATAAAAGCGAATATAGAGTAGTAATATTTTAATTACTAGAGTTAGGCTGTAATTTTAATTGAACTCTATTTAATCGTTCAGTTTGATATATTTTTATATTTAGTGAAGATTTAATCAATCTTCTCTTATGCAGCGACCTTTTTTGCTCAGCTGATAGAATGAGGTTTCCTCATGTGGGTTGATAAAGTAGCTTGTAATCTGAAATAATTGAAAATAAATACAAGTATTTTAGAAGATCATGTTATATTATTGTGGTTTGAAGAGCACTATGAGTATGATATAAGATTCATTACAATAACCTTATATGAAAATACAATACAAGACAGTTTTTATTACTAATAACTAATATTACCAAACTATTAATCTCTTAAACCCACTGTTATTACAGTTATTACATTACCTTGTCAGCACGTTTTAAAACCAAAATAAGAGTTTTAGAAACAAAAGCCTTCAGCTTAAAGTTCTTTTTGTCAACATATATAGCTTGTTAACATGTCTGAGAACAGTCCTCAGAAACAACTAACTTCATTTATAACAGCCTTTATCCACCAAACCATAGAGTGTCTGCATACATTTGTAGAATGACAAAGACCAGTAACCTTTGCACACATACAACTAACGACCATATATGTGATGTTTTTTTGCTCTTATAGGTAAAGAAGCACAATGGATCTGAAACCGTTACTGAAGAAGCTTGGGTCAATACTTCGTGCCATTTTCACATTCACCTTTGCTCTGCTTGTCATGGGCGTGATGGTGTGGGCCTATGTTGACGGTTTCCAGCTAGTGACCTCCTCGTATGGAATCATATCGTTTGGCTTTTATGGACTACTTCTCTCGCTCCATGTTCTAGTACAGAGCTTCTTCGCCTTCGTTGAGCACCGTCGAATGAGGGCTCTCAGCAAACCGTGCAGCTTGACTAAAACCATCGGCTTCACTATATCAGCTTACCAGGAGGACCCTGCCTATCTCAGAGAGTGCCTTAACTCCATCAGGGCCCTCAAGTATCCTCCTGAGCTGCTCCGCATCATCATGGTGATTGACGGGAACACGGAGGATGACCGTTATATGATGGACATGTTCATGGAGGTGTTTGCGGACCAGGACCCTGGCTGTTTTGTGTGGAGGAACAACTACCATACATGGGATCCCACCCAGGCCCAGCAGGATGTGGAAATGGGCCCAGAAGGGGATGCTGATCGTACCATGGGTGAAGATCCACAGCGAAAAGAGGTAGAGCGGCTGATCCAGAGCAAGAGTTGCGTGTGCATCATGCAGAAGTGGGGCGGCAAGCGGGATGTGATGTACACTGCGTTTAAAGCACTTGGTTCATCAGTTGACTACATACAGGTATCTATTTTTCTATTTGAATTCATACACCTCATTGAGTTGAGAAACCTTTATAGAAAAGCATTTTTTAAGAGCACGGCTTTCTTTCTCCCTCCGCAGGTGTGTGACTCAGACACCAAGTTGGACACTCTGGCCACCGTGGAGCTGTGTAAAGTGTTGGAAAGTAACAACAAGTATGGTGCCGTAGGGGGAGATGTGATGATCCTCAACCTTAAAGACTCCTACATCAGCTTCATGAGCAGTCTGAGGTACTGGATGGCCTTCAACATCGAAAGGTCTTGCCAGTCCTTCTTCAACTGTGTGTCCTGCATAAGCGGCCCTTTGGGTGAGGAAAATACATCCTTTCCCCTGTGATGTTGGTCAAAGTAATCATTGCACATGTCAAGCAATGGTAGTCAGAGCTTTAATGCACTGTTGCAAATCAGTGTAACTAATTGCTGAACTTTTTCCATTAAGGTCTGTACAGGAACGATCTCCTCCAGCAGTTTTTGGAGCCCTGGTACAATCAAAAGTTTTTGGGAAGTCACTGCACATTTGGCGACGACAGACATCTTACCAACCGAATGCTGAGCATGGGCTTTGCGACAAAGTAAGACGCCTTCATCAGACGCAACTATCTTAGTGGTGCAGTCTTTGCCGTAATGATAAAGGTTTCATAGATCGTATTTTTGTGATTTCTTTTAGATACACTGCCCGCTCCAAATGCTACACAGAGACTCCAGCTCAGTTTCTGCGCTGGCTCAACCAGCAGACTCGCTGGACAAAATCATATTTCCGCGAGTGGCTCTACAATGCAATGTGGTGGCACAAGCACCACCTGTGGATGACCTACGAGTCCATCGTCTCAGGCGTCTTCCCGTTCTTTGTCACCGCCACCATCATCCAGCTGTTTTGGACGGGCACGCTGTGGGACATCCTCTGGATCCTGTGCTGCATTCAGCTGATCGGGCTGGTGAAGGCAGCCTACGCCTGCATCCTCCGCAGAGACTTTGTGATGGTGTTCATGTCCCTCTACTCGGCTCTGTACATGACCAGCCTGCTGCCTGCCAAGTACTTTGCCATTATCACCATGAACAAAAGCAGCTGGGGGACTTCAGGCAGACGTAAGATTGTTGGAAACTACATGCCTCTTCTCCCTCTGTCCGTGTGGGTCGCCCTTTTACTAAGTGGGTTTGCTTACACGATTTACCAGGAGATTCAACAAGACTGGCTCACTCCAGCCAAGACACTAGAGACGCAGTTCATCATCTACGGCTGCGTGGCATACACCTGCTACTGGCTGCTCATGATTTTTCTGTACTGGGTGTGGTTCAGGAAGTCGTGTCGGAAACGCGTCCAAAGTTACGCGTTGAATGTGTAAATCCAAAGTGACCTGTGAGAAATGGAAAATAATTTATTGAAACTCAACCACTGACTTCATTTTATTTAGTGGGTTTGATTTATTTATTTTGTAGAATATTTCATTAATTAATGAACAGGTATGCTGCTGCTAAACCAACAAACCTAAAAAAAGGGAAAAAAAGGGAATGAACATTATTTATATTGATTACAAAAATCCCACAAATATATTTAAGGGTAAGCGGAGGTGTTGCACATTTAAAGTAAACTGTACTGAGGGCTTTTGAGCCCATGCACTTCTCAGGATTCTCTTTGTCAGATTATGGTGAACAAGATGACCTTCCATGAGATATTTGTTCATGATATCTAAAGTTGGAAAAACTGCAATTCAGATTAAAGAGATATTTAAAAGGGTGGACAATGGCTCTTGGTTTATATATTTAAAAAATATTCAGATAATTTGTCCATGTAGGTGAATATAGATCAATTTATACAATGAACTCCACTTTCTTGACTGTGTCGGTTTGTAACCGTAGATTATGTGTTGTTTTTGCACTGGATCCTGGGGGACACCTTCATTATTTATTTATTTACTTGAAAATACCAGAAATGGCAGTCAAAGTTTTTGCCCAGTAGAAAAAATGCATAAGCAGAGAAAGTAAAACTCGATGGGAAAACCGGGCAATGATATAATGGCCGTGGATAAAAATATGGAGTCACTTATTGAAAACTGAAACTTTCATGTAGTTGCTGCAAACGTACAGATGGATGCGGGTACGTTTTTTAGCTTCATATTACAGAGGGAAATGGTGGGAAAGTGTATTGCTTACTATTTTATATGTCTATATTTTAAACTTAAACAGATGTAAACATTAAACTTGTTGTACTGTCTGGTATTTGTGTTTAAAAATGTTTTTGGGAACGTGTATGGAAAAAATATAAAATATTTTTCTAAATACTGTCCTGTTTTCTTTGGATCAAGATCACATTATATAAATTATTAAAATGTATATAATGTGTTATACATTAATAAAAAAAACACCCAACTTGGTAAATCAGTCAATCATGATGAAGATAGTAAGGTTCTCTCCGGGTTCTCCGGCTTCCTCCCACAGTCCACAGACATGCTCTGGGGATCAGGTTGATTGGTAACTCTAAATTGCCCTGTAGGTGTGTGAGTGTGAACGGTTGTACATCTCTGTGTTAGTCCTGCGATTGGCTGGCGACCAATCCAGGGTGTACACTGTCCATTGCAGATGGATGGATGGATTTAGGGTCCAGCTTGCATTTTTGGGAGGAGTAAATGTTTTTCACCTGAAAACACGGGAGTGAAACTGTCGTCAAAAGGAGGACCAGTCGTCAATACTATTGACGCAAAACTGAGGCAAGACTGAGTAAAAATGTATGTCCTTTTTTTTTGTCAAGTGAACTTTAGTCAATCGGCCTTTTGTTTCTGGGGCAAAAGGATAAGTAAGCTACCCTCCAATGTTAGGTGTGAACGAGAATGATACCCAATGGATAGTTTATGTTAGTTAACAACTTTGAAGTGGAAATGCAGAATGAGTGGAAATGTGCCTGAAAAGGATAAAATATATAATGTTCCACAGCAATGTGTGCCTCACAAGGAAAATAAGTTGTTGTTGTTGACACGGATCACCATATACGTGATGTTGTGTTTTATTTGTCCAGGATCCATGTGACAGAACTAACAATAATTTCAGATCGTACAAAGAGGAAATTTACAGCTCTGTAAAATTTGTCATGAAGGTAAAAAGTAGACATAGATAATTCATGTTACATAGTAATCTGGGAAAGTGCTCTTTCTAATTCTACTTTCTCGGCGGTCTGAATTGGCCTCACACCTTTGTCCTGCAGGTCAAATGTTGTTTTTACTGTGGCTAAAGTCTCTCAGTCAGGATATGGTGGTCAGAGATGTGAGAGTGCAAAGTACCAGTGTGTACATTTACTTCGACCAGTATTTCCAAACATTTTTTTGACATCTGACCCTGAACAGTTGTGACTGTCTTGCCTAATGTCACATTTCAGTTCCACCAGATAGATTTTGCTTTTAAACGTGTCATTTGCTTCTCTTTTAGTAATTGTTAGAGGCCCCTAGAGGTACAAATCTAGATTTTAATCTAGAAAGCAGAGATCAGAAAAAAGACCCAAAGGTACGAACAATTATTTGTATCCGCACCTTTTCTCTGTTTCATGACCCCTCCAATTTATCTTGTGTAACCCTTTGAGATACTCATTAGCAATACTTTATGTACGAGACACAACTTTATATGTCCCAGGACCCTTCCATCGGATAAGAAAAACTCCTCCTTTAATTGGTAAAAAAATCTCATGGTGTTCAACTAGGGAGGAACCTTTTTTTCTGTCATTTTAAGGAGGACCATTGCAATTGAAGCTCTGACAAGACTTTGGTTCAGTGCAACTGACGGAAGCCGGACTAAAACTACTAAAATGCCCATCGAATGCATTGTAACATACTGTATGCTTCTTGCGAGAAATAGAATGACTCTCCACTGGCGGTAGATTTTAACTACATGACAAGACCACCAGCATCATCAGGAAACACTTCCGCTGTTACGATTTCATCTAACTACTTACCAGATAGTCAGTGAGTCAAATCCTCTGACGGAGTTTAAAACCGCGGTAGTTTGGCAGCCAAAAACGTTTCCCCACATGAGTAAAAGTGCCTGGATCTCCTCAAGAGAAGCATTAATGTTACTCATCAGATTTCTCTCTATGTTTGGTCTCAATAGCAACATTCTACATGTGGATGTCTCACCCAAACTGTAAATCAGCTCCCAGAGGTCTTGGATGTTTTACAAAAGAAATATACAAACAACATTTATAGAGTTACGCCTTAATCAGTCTGGCTGAGGAGAGGAAAAAATGTTGGTACCAAACCAAGAGTGTGACGAAGCCGAACATCACTTCCCCTCCTGTCTGTTTCCAGTCACCGTGCTCTCCCCCACCCTGTCTGGGCCCCCATCTCTGACGAATGGGAAGCGAAAGCATGGACCACCAAGTGTTCAGCAAACTCTTTTCGGTCTCATGTAGCCTGAGCAGTGCTGTCTTGAGACACTGTTTTATTGTTGTTTCTTGTGGTTGCCATAAGTAATGCCATATTTCTTAAGATGTATGGTCTATATGTGATTGTTTTTTCTTTTTACTTCTTTCTGTAATGCAAAAATAAACCCAAATTAGGTAAACATGAGCTAATGAAGCAATAGGCTATATGGAAAAAAAGGAAGAAATCTGTTAAGTCATAGTCGTTTTTGGCGCACAGAACAAATTAGGTCAAGGGTGTTCCCTCAGTGTCGGCTTTCGTGTGACATTGTGGTCTACATGCACACTCATATTGATGGAGGTGCCATGATTTACCAGAAGTTGCGCAAAAACACATATTTTGAAGGTGCCTTCATTGGTCACCAATCCGAGCACACAACCACACCCAAACCTATTGAACTACAGTCTGGAGGAATTGGGTTTTGAGCTGAAACCGTAGCTGCTCGTAGGGATTGTCGGTCAGTGAGCCCCATTCCCCAAAAAGGTCCCGATGAAATGTAGATTAGAGGGAAACGATTAAGTTTGGGGCCGCTTTGGGTTTTATGTGTCATAATAAAAAAAGTTTTAATTTACTCCACAGATGATATTTTTCTTACCTGAACCTTTGGCACTGTCTATAAAACAATTTTTTTAAAACAAATTTGCAATTTCATGAATCAAAACTGAAACCTCGCAAGCTCTGTTTATCTACAGCAGTTTAGATAGTAAATTGGGCCCATACAGAAAAGTACCAAGGGGGATAATATAATCCAAAAGCAATAAATATTTAAAGAGCCTTTTCCCTTCCTAAAAGTTGACATTTGCTAATGTTAGGCTTGTAACAATATATAATTTGTTTCCTTGGAAACAGAGCAATCCAGTTAGGCAAGGTGCCTATTACAGTTGAGGATGGAGTCATGTCTGACTGTATTTAGATGCTCCACAGGACTCAGAAGTCCAATCCGGACCTCAAGTTATGTTTTTTCCGAAGATAAGACGTTATAATTTAGGAAGCTCTATTCTACTATTTTATGCGCAAAAGATTTTTAAAGAAGAAGAAGTTATTACATGGTCATCATCTTGAATGCATTTGACAAACCAAATATGACCAATGTATTTAGTTAAAGAGTAGAAAATCAGATGTTTAATCAAAAATGTTTAATGTTTTAATGTGGTTTCAAAATCTTCTGTAAAAACATCTGTTTATTATTAAATTATTTAGAGAATAAAATCATACTAAATTCAGTTCAATGTTTGGAAAAAATGGATTATCAATGAGACAAACTATTAATGCATTTCAATATTAATCCAAAAAATGAATCATTAGAGGGAACAAAGAACAAAGAACAAGCACCCAGACCTTTTTTTCATAGTTATTATGTAATATGTGAAAGTCTCCGAATACTCCTCATACAAGGTTTCCAATGATATATTTCAGAAAGTAATCCAGCGACGCTGTGTTCATTTTAACTCGTTCCATGCATACAGTCTATTCAAAATAAATACTTCATAAGGTGAGCTAATGTCTGCTGTTTGGATAAAAGAGTATGCAACTTATGTGCCAAAGCATCCACATTGACTTTTGATTTCACATGGGGTGTAAACAGCCTCTGAAAGGTGGCCGTTTTCTGTGCCCCTCCACAGCCCTTTAATTCACGTTTATGGTAACCACTTGTGTTTTTCCAAGTACTTTGTATGCAATTGTGCCGCACACAGCCATGCAAGTGCTGCTCTGACAAACAGGATAAAAAGTTGGGGGATCTAAAAAACTATAAGCCTTCATCCTCTGAGGACCATGAATTTCTGTACCAGATTGTACTTCAATCCGTCCGGTAACCTCGAGTCCTAAAACATTTAACTACAACCCCAAAATGTCAACCTCTTGGAGATGCTTATGGAAATGTAAGCGGGTGGCCGATGTCATTAGGATTCGGAACAAAATGTAACAGCATTACCCACAATAGATATCAGTTTGGGTCCATGTCTTCTTCCTGTTAGCTGACATACTGTACACATATAAAAGTAGAAAGCTACTGTGTATCACTTCACGAGCCGTAGTATTCTACATGTATTTGATTTAAATAGAGCGTCTTTCCTATCAGTAACTAACCCACCCCCAATTACACTTAATAACTTTAATGAGGATTAATGTTTGCCAGGTCTGTTCTTTTATGATTGGTAACATAATCTCCAATGTTGCATCGTGTTGTTGTTGTTTTTTGTTTAATAAACTTTGTTCGGTTAACGTTAGCCACCAATAGTCTAGTGAAGGTGTAAAAAAATAGATTGGGAGCTGCAGTATTGGGGATTTGAAGCAAATGCCACACCCTCTTCATCTTAGACGCTGTCATGACTTAGGAGGATACTTTCTAATAATACAGGCTAGATGACTAATATCTATATAAATCACTGAGGAAAATAGAAGACACACAATTAAGTCCTACATTCACCAAATTCTGATTCATTGGGTCATATTTACAGTCAAAACAAAGATTTTGTTTTTTTGAGGGGGATTTGCCATGTTTGCCTCATTAACTTCAAAATAACTGGCATCAATGTCCGGTACAACGTAACGTAATGACCTTTCCTTCTTTCATCTTTTATATTCACTGCAACAGGAGATAAACTGGGACACAATTAAATGTTCCCATGATCAACTGTTATCTTAGCATTATCTAAAGTGAGTGGAAAGTAGTGGATCAAAAACTGACTGAGAAAGATTTGATATTTATATGAAATTTACTCATATTAGACATTATTAGCTGTGATGATTTTTTAGGGGGATAGCACTGTGAACCGGGACTTATGACCCTGGCCGGGCCTTTTCGTCGTGTGCATTTCTCATTACTTGGTCTTGGAGTGGTCTTTGATGTAGTGTGTTATCTCTCTCAGCCATGAGTCCCTTATGCCTTAAGAATGGGTGGTCTCCAGCAAAACGCAGGTACTGTATGGGTGTGGGGTAAGGCCAACAAGGGCAGACTGTGCCTGGGTTGCCCTATGCCTCCCTCTTGTACCTGGAACCACCAACCACTGTTACAGTGTGTTGCCCTTCTGTTATCAGAAAAAAACAGGAGGTTCTTAGCAACTATGTAACTATTAAGAAAGAGGTAAAATACCTTCTAGCAGAGCATTTATAAATAGCATGATTGTTTGCTACGGGATGACTAATTTACTGAGAATTAAAGTTCACAAGTCATCAACAAGCTGTTGTCTTCATCTGTGGAGACCGACTGGCTGTTGTGTGTGATCTCACTCCAAGTGAAACTGCATCTCAAAGATTACCATTAGGCATCGGTTGGATGCAGGTTAATTAAGTTTTGTTTTTTTAACACATTAAGTTCAAAAGTACCGATGACGTAGTAACAGGATGGGCTGTGGGTCATTGTCAAAGATCCCAAATCTGGAAGGATATGAGCTTAATACACTTTACTGCATCTGAATCAGTCACAGGCGCTACAGGCCAACGCATCCTCCTCATTCTGACGTCATATTGAGTTGACAGGTGACGTGTTGCCCTGGCAACATTCTTTGTGTTGGTGTTTTAAGAGGGGAGTGAAGCGAGTGAAAAGAGAAGTAATAAAACATTGAGAAACAAAGTGCATAGTTTTTACTTGAAGAAAACAAGGGCAGCTCTCCCTGTTCACAGAAAAACAAAAACACATCCAACAGCCCTTGAATAAATACTATAGAAATCTCTATAAAAACTTGATAATTACACGTGCTTTTGTAAATGCCCACTTCTTTCCAACTCCGGCTCAAATTGCGATAACCCTGATGACATCATCTGGGTTATTTTCTCAGCCTGACAAAACTCTTTCAGAGTGAGTAGCATTACTGGTCATGGTTTTTCTCAATCATTCATTTTATTGTTTATTCACACCTCTGATAGCTGGACCATACACTCCGCCTCACTAAAGTCTGCCTGACTTTAGAACAAAGTGAGAAACTAAACTGCTTTATGTACATGTGTCGGTAACCATTCGCTATGTTCACCACAACAATGGTGTAGAACTACAGTAGCAGAGGCCATGTTTTCATGAAAACATGAATCTCTCTGTGAGGTGGGCTATGGAAGTATATTAATTTTTCATGATCTAATATTGACCGCTAGTATCATGTCAAATATGTCAGAAATTGTGTAAATGAAGGTAATTAAAAAATAAAAGTATAACTCACAATGATCCAAAGCAACCATGTACAGACCTTTACTCCTTCTTAAGGAAGAAGCAAAGTCCAAAAGCAGAAAACACAGTAATTCATGTTTATTTGAGTCGCTTTTTAAACATTAGAAGTCGGCAGTATACACCAGGGACTTCTTCAACATTTCCAACTTTAAAGGGTTTGATGCCACACCGTACAAAGTACAAAAGGATAAAGAGAATATGTAATGTCGAGTTACTCTCACTCTGACTGTTATTCCGTCTAGAAAGGTCCACAAAGGCTATGACATCAGAGGGGTTTTGGCTTCGAAACAAATCATCTATTGGCCAACATTTCTTATGACTTATTATTATAATTAATTAATTATGTTTTGCAATATGTGTACTTTCCCAACATCACATATGATTCAGATTTTAATGTATTCCAGCCCAGATGTGACAATGTAACAAAAAGTATGCGGATTTCTTCTTCTTCTTCTTCTTCTTCTTCTTCTTCTTCTTCTTCTTCTTCTTCTTGTGCTTTCTTACATTATGTGTGTTTCTACCTCCTTGTGGTTACTCGAAGGCTTGAAGTTCTCAGCTGGCTGTATCAACTAGTTTTGTGGATTATATTGATTGCAATTGGACAACACTGCATTCAAAATTCAGCAAAGATTTAGAGGTGACAGGTAAATTGTCATATATCAACAGAGTGATACATTTTAGAGTTTTAGTCTAATTTAGACATTTCTCTGACTTAAAGCATTTCAATGCATCATATTTGTTGTAGTTGGATGAAGGAGAGCCTATGTTATCTGCACATTTCAGTCTAATATGAATTTTTTGAAGGCAAAATCAAAACACGACAGATGCCTGGTAACTGTATCCTGCCCTCTAGTGGTGGAAGGACTCAAACACAGGCTTTTTGTAAACTATGACGTAATGCTCCATAGAAGACCAAAGGTTTGAAGAAATACTTTTATAGCACAACACGCATGTTCCCAACTCTCAGAACTCCAAATCCTCATCTCTTGCGGCATGTCCGGCGTGAGGTGTTTGCTTTGGTTTTGATGACCAATACAACGCTCTGCGTTACATAAGAAAAACATGTAAATCAGTATGTGATGCCAACTCCTCTCTGCATTCACCTTAACTACACAGATATTACAGGTATACAGGTATACAGGTATTAATGTGTTTCTTTGCTGTTTATGTCTCAAACCGTAGAAGTAAAACATTTGTTTTACCCCAGGGAGAGGAACAACAGGAGGAACAGGGCCGTCAAACAGGCGGTGAGAAGCAGAGGCAAGGAGAGGAGGACGCAGCAGGCCGAAGCACCAGGATCAGGGAGTAACCGTCCTCCTGGGAGCAGAGACAGGTCGAATATCTCCTGCAGCTCTGTGTGGCCTGACGAAACCTCGGGGGTCACTTATACCGAGAGAGAAAGAATACAGGGGGTCATTTCTACTCATATTCAGGACATAAAAACAGCAAAGGTGTTAAAATAAAAACAAAGGTCTGGGCAGTAGGAAGAATTTATTTGTAATAATGTATGACATTTTGGCGCAGATTTACCGATGGTGTATTTACACTTTTTAATCTAAAGGATGCTTCGTGTGTGTATGAAATGTACTGTATATACATGAATACTCATCTACTCATTTACATTTCATGTAGTTTCATAAACTGTCAATATCTTTTTGGAATTGAGGAATAATATTTTTCATTCTTCTACTTCACTTTCAACGTGTTTTAAAAGCCCCCAAAAGCTATTTATAATATTCAAACCCAATTTATGCTGCATCTATTTATACGGCATCCATTTATCTTCTTCTCTCAAGCGTAAAGGAGTTTTATCAACCTTAGTTTCTACTAATCACAGTCTTCAATTCTTTCTCCTTCAAAAGTGGTGTATCTGGTTACCTGTGAGATAGAAGTAAAGCCTGACAATGGAGCGCTGGCCTGAGAAGATCTCGCACTGGTAGGTGCCCTGATGCTGCAAGCTTGTTGAAGGGATAGAATAGAGCCTGTCCACCCCTGCTGTCACTTCTTTAAACTGATCCACCTGCTGAGTTTTCACCTGTTCAGGCATATATCATCGTAAACACTAATCATTTATGATAATGTGCACAGCTGCAAAGACAGAATTAAAGTGTGTTTAAGTAATGTCTTGGGTAATGCGTTGGTATTTACGAGGGAGATACCACTGTGATACTGAGATAAGGTCAGGTCATTGACCCTGAGTCAGAGGAGCCTTTCTGTCTGGGAATATGAAGGTATAACCAACAGTTAGTTAGCTTAGTGTAAAAAAAGATAAAGGGGTGAAAAAGTGTGTGTGTTACGATCAGCTCAGCTATAGCACTCAGATAAAGATCCACTTATTATAACACATTGGGTTGCGCGAGTTTGCTATTTTACAATATATTACAAGGCTAATTGTTCTGTGTTTGTGAGAATCAGCGATAAAGGTTAACATAATTTGGACTCTTTTGCACCATAATGTTTCTACAAATTATTTCTATTAATAAATCACTTTCTGCTCCGAGTCAGTGATATTTTGTTGAAACCGCAGCTTCCTCTTGCTTTCGGGCTTCATGCTAAGCTGTGCTCACTGTCATCTTCTCATCTAACGCTTGTGAAGAAGAAGAAGAAGCCTGTTGAACTGTTCCTTAAAAGCCGAAGCGGTGACACTGAAAGGTTCTCCGTGTGCAAAGCGTACCTCTGCAACCCTCCAGATCACCTGAATATCCTCTGGTAAGAGGAAGGGCACTTCACACCACATTTGGGTCCTGCTGTTCTCCGTCGCATTAATGTCCATACCTGACACACAGACACAGATAACATTCACAGGGGGCAGCTCTTGCATTCTGAGCCGACCTTAATGATAATACTTGAGCCCATTCTCTGAGGAATGGAGTGAAAGTGATGATATGCTAAACAGCGGCTCTACTGTACAAGGTTGATATGAATACCATCGTGTGTGGGAGTCCACTGTCACCTTGCATAAAGAAGCCAAGGACTTAAAGAGTACCTTGGGGAAAAGATGTAATGTGTGGAAATAAAAGGTTCCCTTGGTCTCCTTTTCAAACTTTCTGCTAAGAGCATTTCAAGGATAAATAAACGAAGCATTTCAAGGACCAAGAGCTGGTGCTTATCAGGGTGAGAATGTACTCATGTAGGGAATTGTCGAGTCTGGAATAGAACACCTTTTTGTATTTCTACATGTGATACAACAGTGTAACTAACCCAATAGGTTGGATTATGAGCACTCACCTGGACAGTCGAGAGGGAATTCACAGGAGTCGTACTGGCAGGTAACACAGTTGTACACGGCGCCTGCACTCTGAAAACCTGACGAGTGCATAAAACACTGACACAAGACATTTTGTGACAAAAAGATGTTGCTGAAGAGATTAAAAAAAAACACTAACCACAAGGAGGGAAGCATCCAGAAACTGTGAGAACAAATGGAGATAGTTAACTCAAACTACTAAAATTTAAGTTGATCCGACCCCAGGATCCAAAGGCATGGGTTCAACGTGACGTGTTTCCGTTATTTTCCACAGTATTTAAAAGGCTGTAATCACGTAACTATCTTATCACGGCGAGTACAGAGATCCAAGGGAGCTGTAATGATCTAATATGGGCTTTGCCATGGATGAAAAGATGAAGGAAAAGGGGAAGAGACCATGTCTCACCTCTAGGCAGTTTGGAGGCAGCTGCAATGAAATTGTCTGCGGCCGTCTGCAACCTTTCCTCGTACACTGTGTCTGATGGATGGAGAGCAGGAAGAGGAGGAGGAGGACAAATGAAATATATGGCTCAACACATATTTGGTGAATTGTGTGCTTCAGGGCATCATTTTCAATTTCTAACTGTCTACGAATACTGATGCTCTAAAGACTCGTCTAATTGTGCAGTTGTGTGTCTATAGGAGCAGTTGTTCAGCTACCTTTGTTCAGCTTTTCGTCGAACTCTTCCACCAAAGGCAGGATTTCTGCATTCAGAAGTTTTTTCAGTTGTGTTGCATAACCTCTGCCCACTCTTCCAGCCTCAATTACTCTCTCTTGGTGGTTGAATATGCGGTCCAGCTTCTTGAAGCAGGCGTCAACATTTCTTACATTATTTTGAGTCACAATGTGACCCCAACACAGGCGACCACTGTCTGAACCATCCACAAAGCACTCAAAGCAGCTCAGAGAAGTCCTGAACAGCAAGCAAGCGCACACGAGACGCAAAGGAGATGCACACATTTTGCAGCATAAGCAACAACCTCAAACAAATGTTTCTCCATGAACTGTGTTCATTTGAATCCAGAGCCCGTAGCAACCATACTCGTAAACATTCCAAGCATTTATGTTATTCACAGGTTTAAAAAAAAATAATGCTTTGAAATAGAAATAAATGAAATTGTACATGAGATCTTAATAAATGTCTCAGCTCACATTTCCTCAACATGCTTGGGCATGAAAGGAGAGCATCACAGACTCTCCTACTATACTTCCCACCATTCTATTGTCTACCCCGATTTCCTGCTGCCTCAATGCACCAGTTTTGCTGCAGAGCACAGAGATGGAGCGAGCCAAGGTGGGAGGCGGCGGTGTATGGGAGAGGGGCAGATAAAGAGGGAGTTAAATGCTTGTGTAGTAGAGAGACAAAGTAGAAAGAAACATGCACATAGAATAAAAGTCTAACTAAGAGCAAAAGCCTCCCCCTCCTCCCCCAGAAAAAGGAACAAAAGGATCATCAGTATAAAAATGAGCGCTCAGAGCGACGGCGCATATAATCGCTTATGGGGTTAAGATTTGAGAAGTAGTGGCAAAATAATATGAGAAAAAAATGAGAATGAAGCAAGGAGGAACAAAGACAAGATGGGTTCGAGAGGCAAGTGAGGACATAAGTGACAGACTGAGGAGGAGGAGGAGGAGGAGGAAGAGGGAACAGGACTACAAATCAAGTCGACTGCCTCATCACATCCTGTATCCCCCACTCGGTCTCCCATCCTTCTCACCCCCCGCCCGCCTCCCTCCCTGGTCCCTCACTCCCTGCACATCTCCATGGCAACCAGACAGGGTGCCTAATACATGAACTTAATATATTTCTAGTGGCAGAGTGAGCTGGGTACTAATGCATTCATCCGTCTCCACACAGACAAGCCAATCAATATTAGGCAAGAGTCTGCTGCAGGACTCACAGAGTCAGACACGTTCCAAATACACGTCTGCGGCACGTTTGAATGCATTTTACAATTAGAGCCTGTGTTGCAACAAGGCGTTTTGAAAAAAGAAAATCCGGACCATTTATATATTCTTGTATGTTGAATAAAAAAAATATTAAGCTTTTCAAAGAATACTAAATAATCAAAGAGGTTTTGAATTGCGCTTAGTTGAAGAAATGGTGCCTCATGTAAAAATGCAGCCTTTTGGCTCACTGTAAAAAAAAGATCAATTGGAAAGAAAACAGTTTTTTGGGTGTCGGATCATGTATTTAAAAAAATAAAGTCCAACATTACAACAACCTTTTTTTGGCATACTTTATTGACATGATGTAGAAAACGGGGCAGTGTTTATACTACAAAGCACAAAACATAAACATGATGTACAAATAACTGATTCCCGAGTGACATAACTGACGGGGTCACAACCCTCGGCTGTCTTCCTATTAGCCCTAAAACACAAAGCAAGCCAGTAGGGTTGTTCCCCCTGAGAGGGTCTGTGCTGCAGGAGGAGGGTGTTCTTCTTCATCATCACGACAGGTAAAGTTATTGTGAAAAAGGAAATACTAATACTACATCCTGAAATATTCTACATACAAAAATGCTCCTTTTTTGAAGGACGTTGAAACTGAATGCAGCCCTGTTCCCAAGGACCTCACCTGTGACCTGCTTTGACCTCACAGGTTAAGGGTCTCAGGGACAGAGGGGCATACTGAGAAATGAAAAAATACATAGAGGGGCTTTACATATTTATTCAAAGTACAAAAACTGCGGGGATGAAACGTATTTAATGAAAAAAACGCAGAGTCGCTGCGACGAGACAAAGAAATGACCTCATCTGACATTTGGATTCTGCGGCACCGACTGGTCGCCTCTTTTGCTGCAGATCAGAGGCAAAACTAATCGGCTCAATTAGTATTAATATTTGACACACATTGGCCTTAATTTCATCCACACCTGTCTTTCGCATTGCAATGCAGCCAGAACGAGTAAGTAACAAGTAACAGATAATAATAATCGCAGCAATGCTGCAGTTTAGCCCACTGTGGAGGAGAAAACACACAACACTAACAAATTACAACGTACACACAACACCGTTTAAAAAAAGAAGAAACATTAGCAGAATTATAGATTATTCTATGTTGTCTTTTATGTCTTTTGAGAATTACTGAGGTTTAATCCTTCAAATCTCTGTAAGGACAATTTTCATTAAGTTAAGTTATGCAGGAGTATACAGCACAAATGTCGCAATTATTAGTCATAAAATGTCCAATATTGAGAGCAAGATAGGATTTGTCTTCTGACCTACCAGTTAAGATGAAACAAGAGAAACACAACGTGGGCCCACAAGACATAAAATCACCTGTGAATGAAAGAAAAAATGAGGAACCTTCAGACGACAATATCAAGCTGGAGCTATTTTTTTACCTAGCAATGTAAAACTTTCTGTATATTTTGGTGATGAAAAAGGAAATGAACTGTCAGAAAGTCGATGCCACCCACCGGTAGACAGACCGAATGACACATGCTGACTGGGGAAGACTGAACACGTTTGTATGATGTGGAAAAGGGAAATCTGCATATTTTCTGTCACGTAAAATGACTCGTTTTCACCACATAAAAAACACCTCACTGCAAATGTGACATAACGACGCCTGCTTCATAGCCTGCGTCAAATTGAACTGCTTAATGGACATAAGGTGTGACTACAGTTTTTACTGTAGGCCTGAAGGATTTTGGAATACAGACATGTGATTTTTTAAGATCGTCTCAGTTACATGTTGCATGTGACAGACATGGGAGCCGGAACAGACCCGAGTGAAAACCACACACGAGTCACAACTTCACCTAGAAATTAATTGTGGATTTTTCTGCGGAAGAACTTCAAGATTTGTTTAAAATATAAATAAAATCTCATGTCAGAATCGATAAAACACTGTAAATGGTTTATGCCAAATCACAGAGCAGAACAGAAATGATCGCGTCTGCCGACTGTATCTCTGTGCCTCTTTTTGTTGTTGTTGCATCGCCATCCTCGTTACAAACATACCTCTCCTAATCAAACACGCCATGTCCAACATTGGAACAACTCAATCTCCCAGTTTCATACAAACTGGTGTGCTTGTCTTAGCGTTGGAATATTTATCCGTTTTGACGGCATCCAATTTGTTTTTATATTGCATCAAAAATTAAAAATAACGACGACTTCCACGTTGAACAAATACTTGATCACTGCAGCAGGTGTAAAAGCTTATCGCTCAACAGTGCCAGACATGACATTTAAATTCCTTGACAGCTGCTAATTCTAGTAATTTACCTGCCAGATGTATTAAAGATAAATATAATTAGAGGTATTTCAGACATTTCTAAGAGTTTTACTAGCAAGGTCTGAATAAAAGTGTGAATTAAAATGGTCATATTTTATGTTTCTTAATAAATGTGTGAATTAAAATGGTCATATTTTACGTTTCATGTTTCATCCGCATCGGGATGAAACATGAAACGTAAAATATGACGACAGCCTCTTCTCAAATTAAAAACATATACAGTGACAAGGTGACATTAACTGGTTATATTACGGTCAAAGAAAATTATAAGAAAGAATAAGTGATGAAAAAGTTTCAGATAAAAATGCATTTCGGCTCTTCATCATCGATAAACATCCCTTAAAATTCTTAATCTGCATTTGCCTCATGGGTGAAAATGTAAAAAAAGGGACAAGAATATCACCTTGCAGCCGGCCTCTTCTCTTCTCTTCCCAGTCAGAGTGAGCATGTGTTTCCTCTCCCTCCCTCTGATGGTCTCTGCCGGGGCCAGACAGAGCCCAGCGGCAGGTAGGTTACAGACAATAGTATTGATTCCATTTCCCTGCTCTCTACCTACCTGCCTGACTAACAGCAACATCTGTACAGCTGCTGCTCACCTTTTGTCTCCGCACGGCTGCATCAGAAACACAAGAGGAGAAGAAAAAGCGTAAAGAGTAAAAAGCCTGCTTCACATGCCTGCTCATAAGCATAGCAAATGCTATCCAACACTTTCGGACGACACACACACACGCACACATTAACACACACACACACTCATTCACCCTCGGTGCTGCATTCATGGTCTCTATAGTCTCTCTTTGCTCTCATTGTCCCTCTTCCTCCCTCTATTCCCTCCTCATCCTTCCGTCTCCCCCCTTTTCCTCACATTTTTTCAAGCCTCACATCTCTTCTAGCCCGGTCCCCCCGCAACCCCCCCCCAGCCCCACCGCCCCAATGCCCACACACACACACACACACACACACACACACACCAGTCTGTGAGCTTCGTGTGAACGTGTGAGCGGTGGAAACACAGTGAATAAGAATGCAGTGACTGCATGCACGTGTGTGTTTGTATGTGTGTCTACAAAAGAGGAAACAGTGTGTGTGTGTGTGTGTGTGTGTCTGAGGCAGACGATAGGGGGGAGAGGGGGAGGGTGGCGGAGAGGCTAGCAGAAAGTGGGGATGGAGGGGGAGGGTCAGAATCTAATAGAATGAGAATGGAGAGAAAATATGAAGCCCAGGAGTGTCGTGAACCTGAGAGAGCGCCATTACTGCCTCCTCCTACGTGTACAGCAATCATACCATCATCAAATTGATTACAGGATTTATGGTGTTGATCCAAAACAACTGTAAATTGCAGCGGGAGTGACACCAAACGCATTAAATAAACCCATCGTGGGAAGCTTTGCCAATTACAACAATGCGTCTTGATTATACAGATTAACAAACGAGATGAACAGTGTGCAGTTTGCTTTCTGGTACGATCAAATTGATCCAAACAAAGGCTGTTTCAACACAATGAAAAAAAAAGGCATAAACAAAGATGTTTCATTTTTTATATTTATATTTTTAAATTCTTCTACTCATATTGTAGACATTATATATTTCTGTTAAGTTGCTCTGTCAGTTCACTTCTGAAGGCAGTTGGATTTTAACATTCGTGATACTCTCCGAGAAGACCGAGACTGGAAGTTGGGTTTGTTGGAGAACAATCATTTTGCCGCAGGAGAAATTCAGAAAAACAGAGAATCTAATTTGCTCCTGCTGATTGGCTGTGTGTTGAGTGAGAGAGCATGAATACTACTCTTGATGTGTAAGCATCATTAATGGCCTCCAAGTGTTCTGACACTGAGATCCCCATCGATGTGTCACACATTCACAGTAAATCAGTGTAAAATGTCATGGCCTAAGGGGCAAGTAATGTAAAAAAAATGTCTGAGTCGAAATAGCAGCGGGTATTTTGAACACAGTGCAGCTAAATGCGTTTTACGCTTTGATCTTATTCTATATAATCGTCTTATTCACAGCTCAGATGCACGACGGGAGCATCCTCCTCCATCCTCCATCCTACAGCCGCAATCACACCGCAATGCCACCTGGATTTGCATAGAAACAACATGCTGATGGCGTTAATAGTATCTGCTATGATGCGCGCTGCGTGCTTTGCACCGTCCCTTTGCACTCAATCTGAGCTTCTGTGCAATATTGTATAATATTGTGCTTGCGCAGCACAAACAGCCTATCGGCTCCTGCATTAATGTAGCCAAGACAAATTGGCCTGTACTTTAACAAAACCAAGACCCTGATGGTGAGTGGATGATGGAGTGCATGAGCCTCTCTCTGTCTGTCATAATGCTGCGTGTGAGCACACCTTTTAACTGGTTAAACACCAAGTAAAAGAAGCCTTCTCTGGTATAAGCAGTGTATGAACCCGAATGTCACAGACAGGTGTGTGTGAGTGTGGGTGTGTATGTGCGTGTGTGCGCCTGCGGCTGCACTCTGCAGTGCCACAGAGAGACAAAGCACTGGGAGTGTTTTACAGGGATGACATCATCAGTCTGGGATGGTGTCTGCCTTGTCCGTTTCAGGATGCTCCAGTTCTCTAGTCTCGAGGGATGGGAGGCGGCATTATTTTTGGCTGCACAGATGTTCTCATCACACCTGTTTTCATAACTTGTGTATGTTGCGTATGATAGAAGGCATTAAAGGGAATGAAGTACTTTTTAAGGGTGCATCAAGGAGGCCATGGTGCTTTGTATCTGAAGAGGTTGCAGCGTTTCTCTCTCGATTCCAACCTTGAACAGTTAGAGCAGCGTGCGTGGATGTTTGAGTATATGTTTGCATAACGATCCGCTCCCACATATGCACAGCATGCAGCATCTGCCATGCTGCAAAATGAGCCAACTCTTATCAATCACTGGTACGGCCACTCTCTACCACATCGGTGTATGAGACAGCGAGGGACGGGGAGGACGAGGCAGGGCAGACAGCTCTTTCCTCCCATGTACATTACCCCCACACACACACCTTAAACCTGCCAGACATTCAGCCGCCTATTCTGACAGGAGAGCGGCACGGTGCTGCCGTTGATAAAGAACGCTTCGACTGACAGTGCCGAATCAGCACAATCCTGATACATGCCTTTTTCAAGGAGGGGAGTCGAGCCGGCTGCAACGCACTGCAGACAGCTGCTGTCTCAACCAGCCGTCTCACAAGCAGAGGGGAGGAGTGGGAGGAGGAGGGTAATGAAACTGGAAGGAAAAATAATTGTGATCGCATTGGCTGACATGGACGTAGAGGACTGCGGAAAGTGGTAACATGGAAGTGCAGTGGTAGTAAAAGCACAACTTTGTCCTCATAGACCTGTTGTAACACACAATAGCTTTAAGGATGCAATGTACTGTCAAGCGCAGTCAGGTAATCCGTCATCTCAACAGCAAAGCACTTTGTTATATACAGAGAGAAACGGTAATTCTGTCACTCACACACTCTCTTTTCAGAAATGTGTTTTTTTAGGGTTTTCGTAAACATTTGTATAGTCTTGAGGTTTTGATCAGTTATCCCGGATCAAAAGAAAATATTAATACAAAAATAAAAAATAGAAGCTAAATTAAGCCCCCCTCTCCACACTAATAGAGTTTAAACAACTGACTGAAGTATGATCATGGATAAAATTATTATCCTTGCTTATATCTGCTGGCCTAACAAACGTGCCCAGTTGCAACAAATATTTCACACAAAATGACAAACAGGCCCATCGGGACTTCACCCAATGGGAGAGTGTGGGACTAGACTTTCAGAGGACAGACATCATCGCAGTTGAAAAGAACGATTCATGACGATAACCACTGGGATATCCTCGCACACGGTAGTAGCCCACTTACCTCTGACGGTGGCACATTAGACGAGGAAAGGAGTGACTCCGCAGGGAAAGCTAGAAGGTTGTACAGTTATCTCCATGCTGTTTATTATGCGAAACCATACAACCAACTACCTCACTCTGCAGAGCACAGGCTGTAGGGCTGCTGTCCAGCAAGAGTCCTCACTGCAGGACAAAGGTGTGCTTGTACATACTCGTATACGTGTACGCGTCTGGCTCCGGTCTACCAGTCAGCTGACCACCTCACTTATTTCCTGTTTGAGCAAAACACTAGAATCCCAAATGCCCTCCCTCATTCATGTGGTTAGGCGTGTGACCATTCATGCAGGTGTGGTTATGTTAGATGTGTTCATCCATTGGGGAATTTGCCAGGTCATTCGGTGTGCGCTGGTCGGACCTTAATTTGAAGGCCAACAGTTGGACTATTGCAAACGCTTCATTTCATATGTTCATTCCTTGTGTTTCCAGCGATTTCTTAGGAGTTGTTGCCCTCTACTGGTGACTGTGGAGGCGACCTCTCACTTCTCTACTCAGCGTCTGTGCCGGCTTCTCTCCTGGCATTGTTACACACAGGATGTTACAAGCACACACGCATACTGTGTCATCCCCCAACTTCCTCAATATCAGCAACTATCATTGTGTCTGATGCTTTATTAAGTCGTATTGTTTGGCTTTTGCACTTTTACACATTCCCACCATCCTGCATTTCATCAACATCAGCTGTCTGATTCTACTTAATAGCTGACAGGTTTTCATGGGAGTTAAATGCCATCTGCCGCAACGCTGTCATCACCATCAGGTCTGCTGTGATATCTAAATCGGGGTGACTTGTGACTCGCAGCCAAAAGGGAATTTCTTACACGTCAGACTGAGTGAAAACAACAACAACAACCCTTAAACCAACACCTCTTTAGATCGCTGTAGGAGCTGTTGAATGCCACAGCACCACGTTTGCTGGCACAACGCTACATCCCAGCAGCTATAAGTGTTACATCACCCGGAGCACAGATTCACGTGGGCGATGTTGCTATGTAAATCATATTTAAAGGTTTTAGATGTTAAAAAACAATATACCAATAAAAAGCTGTTGCATAAAGGTGCAGATCAGAATTGCAACGTACTGATTAAAGAGTCCTGCACTTCTAATCCATCTTCTAATAAATAGTGAAGTGAGGTTCATCAGATGGCTATGGATATCCATGGAACAAAACCGTGTGAGGAAGAACTCATCTTAAAACCCTTTAGCCAATTGAGCAACGTGCTGCTGAAAATTTAAATATGTCGCCAGGTGAATTTGTTTCCTAGTTTTTCCTCCGCACTCTTTTTTTGCTGGAATGCGTCTATAGACCTAATCCTCCCCCATCTGCTGCTCCCCGTCGCTTTTACTCTCTGCATCCCCCCCTCACCCTACCTCCCCCCTTCTCATTCTCCTCTCTTCACTCAACCTTTTCTATGCTTCAGCCCTCATGGGTCCCCGATTTCCCGCCTCTTATCCTTTTAACCAGCCCGTCTTCAGACCCCCCCCCCCGCCTCCTTTTACTCACACGCACCTGACGACTCCTCTACTTTGCAGCCAGCATCTGCAATACTTTCACATTCAAATCATGCAGAAGTGCAGTTTAACAGTGCCAATGACAGCTGTCCTCCCACTCACTCCACCCTTAAGCAGACCTGCAGAGTGTATAAACAGTAGAGGACTGCTCCACCAAGACAAACATTTAGGGTGGGTTATAAATGGGGCGACTTGCTCC